TTCTACAGTGTTTTACATATATTAACTGGTTTAATCCTCCTAATAGCTCTATGAGGTCGCCCCTGATTGACATCACCATTTTTCAGATGAGGAAGCTAAATCCTAGAAAACTTAAGTGAAATGCACAAGATCACACAAGCAAGAAGTGACAGGGACCACTCCGCGTAATTTAACCCCATAATATGCTTCTGCCTGGCTTCACAGGTCATTAAACTTACATTTATCTCCCCATTTTTAGAGACTGCACAGTATTCAGAGCAATAGATAGATATATTATAATTTATTTAGCCAATTCCCTCTCTTTTAATATTTAGTCAGATTTCAATTTTTTAATAATATAAATAAAATTTTGATAATCAACATTTGTACACACACTCATGTGCTTGTTTATTTCTTTAGGATAAACTCTGAGAAATGGAATTGCTGGATCAAAGAGTAATTTACTTTCGGCAGGGCAGCAAGGAGAACCGCCCTCTTTCAGAGCATATGTATACAGTAGGACCTCTGCTTAAGGAATGCTCCAGGAGCCCTCTCGCCTTACCACAGACGATCTCCTCCTGCACTCCACCTGGCCACACACCCACAGTCAGACCCTAGTCATTAGCTTTACCAGTAAACGCGCCATCGCTGAAGTCTTGATTTCACACATCCCATCTGCGGACCATCACCTCCTACCCTTCTCTGATTTCATCAAGACCTCTAGTCCACCGGCCCCACGACGTTTCCAGCCTTTATTGTTCCTCTCATATCTTTTTTTTAAATGGAGGTATAACTGACATGCAATAAATTGCACACACATAAAGTGTGCAGTTTGATAAGTTTTGAAATATGCATACACCTGTGAAATCATCACCACGATGAAGATAGCGAACATACCTATCACAGAGCTTCCCTGTGTGCATTGGCAATCCCTCCCTCTCTCTCTCCCCTCCCTCAAACTCCCCTCCCCCTGCCCAGACAACCACTGATCTGCTTTTTGTCACTACAGTTTATTTTCTAGAATATTATACAACTTTAATCATACAGCATGTACTGTTTTTTGTCTGGCTTCTTTTACCCAGCATAATTATTTTGAGATTTGTTCATGTTGTTATTTGTATTATTACATTCTTCCTTTTCATTATTGAGTAGTTCCATTTATAGATATACCACAACTTGTTAATCTAGTCAAGCCCATTCATCTGTTGATGGACATTTTGGTTGTTCCCACATACTGGCTGTTACAAATAAAACTGCTATGAACATTCACGTGCAAGACTCTGTGGATATGTATTTCCCCTTTCTCTTGGGTAAATACCTAGTAGTGGGGTAGCTGCCTCACATGGTAGGCATATATTTAACTCTTCAAGAAACTGCCGAGGGCCGGCCCGTGGCTCACTCGGTAGAGTGCGGTGCTGATAACACCAAGGCCGCGGGTTCGGATCCCATATAGGGATGGCTGGTTTGCTCACTGGCTGAGCGTGGTGCTGACAACACCAAGCCACGGGTTGAGATCCCCTTACCAGTCATCTTTTAAAAAAAAAAAAAAAAAAGAAAGAAAAAGAAACTGCCGAACTGTTTTCCAAAGTGGTTGCATTATTTTACAGTCCCAGCAGAAGTGTATGAGAGTTCCATTTCCCCCACATCCTTGCCAACACTTGGTATGGTCAGAATTTTAATTTGTATTTCTCTATTGACTACTGATGATGTACAACTTTTCATATGCTTTCAATATATCCCATAAATTTTGGCATATTGTATTTTGGCTTTTGTTCATCTCAAAGTTTTTTCTAATTTCCCTTATGATTTCTTCCCTGACCCATTGGTTATTTAGGAGTGTGCTGTTTAATTTCCATGTGTTTATGAATCTTCCAACTTTCCTTTCCTTCTGTTACTAATTTCTACTTTTATTCCATTGTGGTTGGAGAATATGCTTTGTATGATTTCAATCTTCTAAATGTACTGAGGCTTTTTTTTTTTATGGCCTGGTGTATGGTCTATCCTGGAGAATGCTCCACACGTACTTAAGGAGAATGTGTATACTGTTGTAGGGCGGAGCTGTTTACAGATATCTTTTAGGTCCAGTTTATTCACAATGTTGTCCAAGTCTTCTACTTCCATGTTGACCTTCTGTCTAGTTGTTCTACCCATTGTTGAAAGTGAACTATCAAAGGTGGATTAATGTCATTATCGTAGTAGTGGGTTATCATGGGAGTGGGTTCCTGATTAAAAGGGTGAGTTCAGCCCAATTTCCTCTCTCTATCTCATGTGCTCACTTCTGCCTTCCTCCCTTATTCCAGGGGTTGACCAGATGCCAGTGCCATGCTCTTGGACATCCCAACTTCCCAGAACTGTGAGAAATAAATTTCTTTTCCTTATGAATTACCCAGTCTCAGGTATTCTGTTATAGCAATGTAAAACAGGCTAAGACATCTACTAACAATTTTTGTCTCGAAGTCTGCTAAGTCTGATATTATTATAGGCACTTTCTTTTGGTTGCTATTTGCATGGTATACCTTTCTTCATTCTTTTAATTTCAACTTATTTGTATCTTTGAAGCTAACCTGTGCCTCTTGTACACAGGATATAGATGGACTGTATTTTTTAGTCCATCCTGCAAATCTCTGTCTTTTAAGTAGAGTGTTTAATCCATTCACATTTAATGTAATTAGCGATACATTCACATTTAATGTAATTAGTGATATGATAAGATTTACATTTGCCATTTTGTTATTTGTTCTCTATATGTCTTATTCTTTTTTGTTCTCCTCCTCCATTACTGCTTCCTTTGTATTAGTTATTTTCTACTGTGCCATTTTAATTCCCTTATAATTTCTTTTACTATGTTTTTTGAGTTGTTTTTTTTTTTAATTGGTTGTCCTGCGAATTGCAATTATCATCTTGATTTAAACAGTCTAATTCAGGTTAATATCATCTGCTGTGGGNAGCCATATAAGGTGTGTCTCTCCAGCTAGAGTTGGGGGGCCCTATAAGGGCAGAAAACTGTCTTACCCATTTTGGTACCATGGGAGTTTGCAGAGTTTCATATATTAGTAGATACCCCATAAATATATATATTTTTATCATGCCAGTGACGCTTGCCCAGGTTGTTCTTTGACCTAGGATGTCCTTCCAGCTCCCTTCCACTTATCATCCCAATACTTGCCATCCATCAATATCCAAATTAAGTCCTACCTCCTCATAACATTTCCTGCAGCTATCCTGGCCCATGTTGAGGTATTTCTTTTCTAAATTCTTGACACATTTTCTATCTATATAATCTAGTATGACTTTTATCACATTCAGACTTGAAATGTTACTTAACTGTTTCATGTGACTAAGCCTTGTCTCCCAAGTAGACCATAAGTTTCTGGACTGTACCTGTTTTTTGCATATGCCTCTTCATGCCCACCTCAGGGCCTTACCACAGTAGGTGCTCAATAAATAGGAGATGGCCAGTGGAAGTAAACACTCCTCTCTTCTCTAGGACTTTCCCTTTTGCCTCTTTTTACTGAGGCCAAACCATTGCTTCATAAACACATGGAGA